GAAGTGAAAGACCTATACTCTGAAAACTACAAGACACTCATGAGAGAAATTAAAGAAGATACCAAATACCAATAAATGGAAACACATCCTGTGCTCACGGATAGGAAGAATTGATATTGTCAAAATGGTCATCCTGCCTAAAGCAATCTACAGATTCAATGCAATTCCTATCAAAGTATCAACAGCATTCTTCAATGAACTAGAGCAAATCATTCTAAAATTCATATGGAACCACAAAAGACCCTGAATAGCCAAAGCAATCCTGAGAAGGAAGTATAAAGCTGGGTGGATTATTCTCCCCAACTTCAAGCTCTACTACAAAGTCACAGTAATCAAGACAATTTGGTACTGGCACAAGAACTGATCCACTGAATAATGGAAAAGACTCGAGAGCTCAGATATAAACCCAACCATATATGGTCAATTAATATACAATAAAGGAGCCAATGACATATAATGGGGAAATGACAGCCTCTTCAACAGCTGGTGTTGGCAAAACTGGACAGCTACATGCAAGAGAATGAAACTGGATTATTGTTTAACCCCATACACAAAAGTAAACTGGAAATGGATCGAAGACCTGAATGTAAGTCATGAAACCATAAAACTCTTAGAAGACAACAAAGGCAAAAATCTCCTGAATATAAGCATAAGCAACTTCTTCCTGAATGCATCTCCTCGGGCAAGGGAAACAAAAAGTAAAATGAACACATGGAACGACATCAAACTAAAAAGCTTCTGTACAGCAAAGGACACCATCAACAGAACAAAAAGGCATCCTACAGTATGGGAGAGTATATTTGTAAGTGACATTTCCGACTAGAGGTTAACATCCAAAATATATAAAAAACTCACATGCCTCAACACCCAAAAAGCAAATAAAACGATTAAAAAATGGGCAGAGGATATGAAGAGACAATTCTCCAAAGAAATGCAGATGGCCAACAAACACATGAGAAGATGCTCTACATCACTAATCATCAGGGAAACGCAAATTAAAACCACAATGAGATATCACCTCACACCAGTAAGGATGGCCAGCATCAAAAAGACTAAGAACAATAAATGCTGGCAAGAATGCGGAAAAAGAGGAACCCTCCTACACTGCTTGTGGGAATGTAAGCTAGTTCAACCATTGTGGAAAGCAATATGGAGGTTCCTCAAAAAACTAAAAATAGAAATACCATTTGACCCAGGAATCCCACTCCTTGGAATTTACCCAAAGAATACAACTTCTCAGACTCAAAAAGACATATGCACCCCTGTGTTTATCGCAGAACTATTTATAATAGCCAAGATAAGAAAGCAACCTAAGTGTCCATCAGCAGATGAATGGATAAAGAAGATGTGGTACATATACACAATGGAATACTATTCAGCCATAATAAAGAAACAAATCCTGCCATTTACAACAACATGGATGAGGCTGGAGGATATTACGCTCAATGAAATAAACCAGGCAGAGAAAGACAAGTGTCAAATGATTTCCCTAATTTTTGGAGTATAACAATGAACCAAAACTGAAGGAACAAAATAGCAGCAGACTCACAGACCCCAAGAAGGGACTAGTGGTTACCAAAGGGAAGGGGTGTGGGAGGGCGGGTTGGGAGGGATGGAGATGGGGATTGAGGGGTATTATGTTTAGTACACATGGTGTGGGGGACATGAGGAAATCAGTGCAGCACAGAGAATGCAAACAGTGGATCTGTGGCATCTTATTACACTGATGGACTTGATAATATGGGTAAATGTAGTAACCACATTGTTTTTTCATGCGAAACCTTCATAGGAATGTACTATCAATAATACCTTAATAAAAAAATTTAAAAAAAAGAAACGCTATAGAAAAAGAAAACAGGCATATTGAACAACAACTAGTTATATCTATTGTATCTATACCAATACTACTATGGTAATGAAAATAAACTCACTGAAACTAATAGTTTAATAGATTGATTAGGCAGCTGAAGAGGGAAACAGTGAACTGGAAAATAAAGCTGTCATTGTTCAAAACACTGGATGAAGACAACCTTCCAACCTGAAATAAAGGCCCTTCCCACCTCATCCACAAGCAAGTCCACCCCTCACAGGATAACTGGCAGATGTCAACTCTGACTTCAGACAGCCAAGGCGTCCTTGTCCTGTGCAGGGAGGCAGAGGGAGTGAGCTCCGTGGACTCTTCCTGGGAGGGGCACTGGTTGGTAGTACCCCTGAGTGGAAGCCCCCAGTGGACAGGAGGTCACAGTTATGGTCAGGTGATCTCTGGTGATTTCCATGATGCCCACGATATTGGTGTCATGGAAGGGCACCCACACATGGGGTACCCAGCAGAGCAAGGCTATAGGCCACGTGTTCAGGTCCTCCCCGATCCCTGTTGAGTTGAGTTGAACTTCACACACTGCCCCCTGAGTGATGGGTGTGAACGTGAACTTGCTTCCTGACCCACCCCCACTCCGTCCAGGTGGAGGTTCCAGCAGCGACCCCAGTCACAGACTCAGGATCACCATCCCCATGGCCGGCCTGAGCCCTCATCCACAGGCAGGCTACACAGTCAGGCCTGTCTCTGTGTGACCACCACCCCTTCCTGAAGTACCGCTGGGAGGTGTATGGGCACACACATCTTAGTCTGGGGACATGTGCCACTGAAACCCAGAACACCACCAGGCTGAGCCGCAGACAGCATGGCTGTGATGTGCCCTGACTTGTGTTCCCAAGATTCCATAAACAGTGGCTGGGAACATGTTCACATGACACCCACAGTGACCAACACGAGGAGGGAGGGAGCCTTGGATGAGGGAGATGTCAGGACCCTGGTGGACAGCAGTGGAAATCCCTGAGGCAGAAGAAAATGTATAATCAAGAGACAGGGCCTCAGCTGGAACGTGGCCCAGCACCTCTGCCCTGACTTGCCCTCACACACAGAAAGGGACATGGCTCGGCCCTGTGTTGTCACCCAGGATGGCTGCAGGGCCAGGTAGGGAGAGCAGTGCTCTAGAACCTGGCTGGCCTCCCCTCCCCCACCTAACTGACCTGCCCTGTTATGAGGGCCCCTGTTGCCCTGAGTGACGGAACTCTGGAGGGTTCTGAGCCATCCCCTGTGACCATGGACCTGGCACTTTGAGGCAGAGCAGTGGAGCCCCTGCAGCCATGGAGGGCCTGCTGGCTGCCACCGGACTCATGGGCCAGCTGATCCTGAACCGCCTGTGAAGCTAAGAGAAGGCGACTGCATCAGACAAATGCTGGCTGACGCCCAGGCCCACCTGCAGCCTTTCCCAAGTGGCCCTTCTGCTCCTGTTGCTCCACCTGCAGCCCACGGAAGCCACAAGCTGTCCCGGGATCCCCTGAATCCTCAGGACTCCCCAAGAAGGAAGAGGAGGGTGTCACGGTGAGGGACCAGGGGGCAGGGGTGACCTGCAGGTGTGACTCAGCTCATGGCAGCCGGGTCCTGACAACCCACAGCCATGGCACAGCTCTGAAGGTGTTTCTGTCTAAGCTAATTTTGATTTATCTCTTTTAGGTTTGGCTACTGTTATTTAACTGATATGACAATTCTCTTATCCAAGTAAGCATAGCATGCTAATCTTAAGAGTATTTTTCAAATAAAGTTTCATTTAATAAAAAACAAAAATGAAGTTTACAACATGATTTTAAGTTTTTATAGTGGCATCAAAAAGAAAATCAAATGTTAACTTGTCATATCAAACTAGCAGCCCTCTGAAAAGGAACATTAGTCTGGACCTTGGTGGCCCTCTTGCTACTACTGTTCAAGGTCGTGTACACACGAGTGTTATGTTTCTGCACTCTGAGCCCCTGGACAGTGGTCACTTTGGCCCTTAGAACCTGCTGTCAAGGAGCTCTTTATCCAGTACCCCTGAGCCTTATTCATGGTGTCTACTCTTCAAAAATGAATCATGGTGAAATTTCTGAAATAATTTTCAGTTATGTATATCTTTTCCACTCTGGGCTCAGAACTGATCTTAAATATAAGTCGAGAAAAATGGCATCGTGCCCACACATTTTCAAAAAGTAATGCTCTTTCTCAGTAACAGAACAAGCTGCCTATAAATCAATAAGCCATTAAAATTTTTATTTCACAAATCAGTGTACAATAAAAACATCTCACAACTGGATAGAATTTTCTTAAAAGAGATCACCAATAAGCTTTGGTCACAGACCTTTCTGAAAGGGAACTTGACGTTTTGCTATCATCAGGATATTAGATATATTATTCTTTAGACCAAAAGTTCTCATGAAAAAGGAATGAATATGAATTGGAAAGTCATATCAGAAATGGAGAGCCAGAAACCTGTAGTTTACGCATTCCCTTCTACTTTCAAACTCTGACATACTCTGAAATTAACTTTTTAAGTAACAACACTGGACACATGAATATGTACACAAATGTGCACACATGTAATCTTTTCATTTTTACTGCTAGATCTCAAGTTACATCAGGGCTACTATTTTACTTCATTTGATTAAACTGATCAGAAATAGAGCTGAATTCTCACTTCTGACAAGCCTCTGTGACTGCTTCAATAGCTCATAAACATTTGCTAGCCGTATCTCTATTTGTTTGAAAGTTTCCTTTTCTTCAAACGTAGTTTATACAGCATTACACTGCGCTCTCACACATTTACAGATCATGCACCGAGTCTCACATCATTCACCACGATATCACATACCGTGGCATCACGGGTCACCCTCAGACACCTCCTACTGAGCCCAATTCTAAGAAACAGGACATGATCAGGGATGAAGTAAGGTGAGCATATGTGAAACCAAGTCATGATAACCTCTTAAGGAAACCACTTTGCCCTCCCTGAAACATTTTTACTTTTAATTTTTACATGTTTTCATGTTCCAGAAACTTTAAGTAAGGTAGTAGGGAATAGAAATTAGGGCCCAAAATATATCCTATTACTTTAATTCACCTCTAAGGACATTTACTTTCCTTTTAACTTGAGCTCAAACAAGAAGTTAAGTAGGTGCTGACATACCTGTCATAGCCCAGAGGCTGAGGAGAATGACTATTAAATTTGGGACTGCTTCTAGAAATTGTATTCCCTGGTGATATATTATTCATGCGCTGTAATACATAAAATACATAAGTATTATTTTGTTGTTCCACATAGACCTTTTATGGATACACACACACACATATTTTTTAATTACAGCACACTAGTTAATGTCTAATATAATTAAAAGTTTGGTATCCTGTGTGAACAAATGTGAGCATGAAAATCAAGGCAAAAATTATAAGGTAAGTGCCCCAAGTACTCTCTCCATCTCATGCTGTAAGTCCATCTCCTCCTGCATAAACCATAAAGGGGCATCCCGGTTTCCCAGATTTGCTGGGACCTGCAATACCAACATCTTTGGATTTGTCTCTTCTTGAACCAGAACTTGGCTTAGTTATGCTAACCTACGGCACTGGAACCCCACACTTGGACCCAAACCCCAAAAGTGGGAGAACAGGCTTTCTGATTCATGTAGTCTCAGCAAGGTCTTCCAAATTCCAAATGCGGCTTAGCTTGTTTCTGTAGGAGGTGTTAAAATCCACGTCCCCACTAGGATAATCTCACTGGCATAAAGAATACTTAGCAGGTCTAAATATATCTCAGCTGATGCACCTTTACAGTCCTCAAATGGGCAGTATTTTATGTGTACCTCCATGGGATTTCCCACTTTCTTTTACATTACTGCCATCTGTGCACATATTAGTTCCCTACTTAACTCCCTACACAAATATAAAGGTGTGACCAGGAGCCAGGTCACACCTTATACATCCTTCTCTGGTTTCCTTGAGCATCTAACAAAGAGTTTAGACATATATTTCTGCAGAGACCTGACATATTTTCCAACCTGGAAGAATTTTGCCTCCTCTTATCATATGGAAGTTTCTCCTTGCTGGAAGTTCTCCTCTAAATAAAAGACATGATTTATACCAGAATACTCTGCCAGAAGAAAGAACAAAATACATTATAAAATTCTATTGCATACCAAGGATCTGTTGAACTTGCTGTAACTGTTTTCAAGGGCACTGCGTAGGCCATCGTTACTGTCATGCAGCTTCCGGTTAGCTGTTCTACAGAGTAAGCAAATAAAATGAATAAACAGTTGAGAAGAAGGTAGGGGTGAATGTCACCACTTTCTTTTCAGGCTGTGATGTTCAGAATGTGGATTCACTTAAGACCTCTTGCAACTTTCTACCACTTCCCTTCAAACCTCATAAACTGAGGTTATAATCCATAACTAGAACTACAATTCAATTGATGTATTAGCTCTCTTTAAAAGTCTCAAGACATTTTAGGAAGGCATTAGCTCTGGTGAGGAACCCACTCCACCCTCAGGTAGTTTCCTAAATGCCTGGCCCCGGCTGGCCCCATGCACTGCTCTCTATCCCCCTACATGCACTCCAGCCAGGCGCAGATCTGAGATGTTACATCATGCTTCTTTCTCCTGGCCACTCCTTGCCCGGCTCATGTCCTGGTGCTGTCCTTCCAGGCACTATCATGGACCAGTTAAAGGCTTCAATGTTGACTCTGGGTTAAAATCCCAACTCAACCAAAGACCTATGGGGGTCATTAACGTGTCAGAGCATCATCAACCTCTTCTATAAAATGAGGATCATAACAGAGCCTCTGCCTTGGAGGGTGGCTAATCTTTCCCTACTTAAGACTTATTTGTCTTTCAGATCTCAGCCCAATCGCTGCTTCCACTGGGAACAATTCCTGGCCCTGGACCTGGCTGGGCAGAAACTCTCTAGTGTATTCCCTCAGGGGATGCACCCCTTCCATCTGTCCCACCACTTTCTTTTGACATTTTATATCTATGCCTATCAGTTTCAGTCTTCCTCCCCTAGACTGGCCCCACAGGAGAGAAATTTTTGTCTCCTATTTGCCCCTCCATCCTCAGCTTCTGGCACCCTTGGCCCATAAAAGGTGCTGCATAAAAACCTGCTGCATGAATAAATAAATAATCGAACAGCAGTACTGCAATACATCAACTTCATTATTGCAATATGTCAACTTGGTGATTGCCACAGGTGAGACTTAAGAAGTATTTAAAAATGGTGAAAAAAAAAGTTTGTCAAGCCTGACCTTACTTCACTGGGGAAAGTGAACCCAGAAGAAAACAATGCATGGGTAGAAAAGAGAGAAAGGGGTGAGGGAGGCTCAGAGGTGGGAATTACTGACTCAGCTGTGAGGTTGACAGAGCAGATATAGTATTTTCAATAGGGTAAAAAAAAAAAACTAAGAAAAATGTACCTTTACAAGAGCACAATAAACTTTGAAAGAATGAGTACATAAGTCTGGCCCTGTGACCTGTACTAACATGAGACGCCAGACCACCTCTCAGTGTGCTGAGCTGCAGAGAAAGCCCATGAGATCAGGCTGTTATTCTTTCCAGAGGTCTCACAAGACACGCTGGACCCATCACTGACATGCAAGGACTTTCAGAGAATTACACTCTAGTCCCTGGATTTAAACAGTTGGTTTAGGATCAGAAGCATCAGAAAGCTAAGTGGATGTGCCAAATGCAGCAACACAGAGAAGAAACGTGTGTGGACCTGCAAACCCAGGCTTTACAATATCGTAACTTGTGATATATGTGGCACGTGTTTTATTAACAAAAAATAAGTGAAATGTAAATGTAATGAGAGTTTTACACAAGGACTTACTGGAGTATTTCAATTTGCCTCTCAAGACTATTTCGGTCTTCTGTGTACTCTCGGATTATTTCCAGGTCCCTGTAAAATTGTATTATATATTTGAATGAGAATTAGGTGTCAGTCCTGCCACACTTCTTCCTACCCTTCCTGACCCGTTAGTCCCCTTTTTTAAAGACATGGGTCCTTGGCCATGGTTTTCTATCTCACCGAGGTCCTGCTAGGCGTCCCTGTGCCGTCAGCAGCCTCTTCCTCCCCGTGTGAGACTCACAAGGTCACCCACACCTTCTGCTTCCTGTACAAGGTTCTGCTCCCTGCCAAGCCCCGTGAGCAATTCCATGCCCACCACTGCTGGCTCTGCTCCTCCCTGGGACCGACCCCTTGACCTCCCATTGCCCCCTCACCAGGCTCACTCCAAGCCCCTACACCTCAGCTTGCTCCCACCTCTCACCAGTCTCTGCTCCTTCCAAGACCTATGCAATCCCAACCCCAGCTGTTTTCTCCTCTTCTTGCCTGCCCTGGCTCCTGCTCCCCCTCCCCTCCCCTTCTCACCAGAAAACACAGGGGAACCCACAGGACCAGGCTTTCTCTGATCACTACAAACTCGTGCTCAGTGATTCCTCTTCTGCTTTATTAGGAAGCCCTGGCCTGCTCCTCACAATTCCACTCAGAACATCAGCCACTTGCCCACAGCCCTATTCCACCTCAGCCCCATTTCTAAGCAGACAAACCCCATCACCAGCTTCCAAAAATTCCCAGACTATCAAGCAAGCTTTGTCCACAATTCTTTGTCCATCCACTCTTTTGGCAATAAAGCTAAAAGTTCCCCAATTGCCTATAGGAATTTGAATTCTCAGCCAAGAATTCTGAGCCCTGATAGTATAAGCTACCTTTTAAATTTTTTAATTTTTTTAAACTTTTACTTTTCCATTCAAATTATCTTTTTTTGTCTGGGAGTCTGACCACTGTTCCCCCAGCCAGTCTTCCTCGACCCTATGAGCTCACCCTATGCTTTGGTTAGCGCCTCACGTGGGACATTCCTGAGACTCTTTTTTCCCATCTGTGAAATGGGGACATTGAACATCCCCACCTCACATATACTCTATGGACTGAAGGCGATAGTACTAGTGGAGCACCAAGGAGTGCCAGCAGGGGGCAGTGTTACCTATCTCTGCTCCCCTTGACGAACACACCTACTCCTCCCAAACTACGGCCTCATGTCTCCTCTTTAATACAGTTCTCCACCTCTTCTGACCAAAAAGAACACTATACCTACCTTTCATGTGGCAGTGGACCCAACCTGTGCCACTACCGGGGGTATCGTTTCTAACATTCTTTAGCACTTATGTTTTAACTCTGTAACCTGTTAGCTTTTTATCTTCCTCAACTGGATTTGAAGCTTTCAAAGAGAGACCAAAGCTTTTCTTTTTATATGCTGCATACTCATAACTCCTTATTTAGCTCAGGGATCTGTATAAAAGAAGTACTTAATAAATGATTCACTACTTTCTATTACAGGAACTTAATTCTGATTAGTTTGCAAACAAACAAAAAGATCTTTTTCCCAAGTGTACAAGTATGTATGTGTGTGTATATGCATTTATATGCAAATATGTAAGTAGGCATATATATTTTATATTTGCATATATGTGTGTTTTATACTTACATGTCCTATATAAATATCCACGTATACATATAAATGCCTGTGTGTGTTAGGTCTTGTGTTATTAACACCATACCACAAAACTAAAGCATAGCAAAATAAAACAACTTGCTAAGAAATCTACTTTTCCCCTCTGTTGTAGAGCCAGGATTCCTACCTTCAGAACACTTTAGTTAGCAACCAACTTTTGACACTTTGGTATATTCTTCTGCTTCCAGTAATTCAAACATTTATTAAGCGCTGCACTGTCCTGAGTAGCCAATAATAAAGCTAATTAATCTGTTTAAAACTTAAAAACACAAAAAGTACAAGGAAATAAGACACTGAAAGTAAAATCTTTAGAAAGCAAAGAACATATTAGCAAAGTTAATAAATAGCCCTTTGTTTTTATATAGCTGAGCTTCATTCATATGGATGGTCATCTAAATATTCTGCTCAAACAATAAAAGAAAACGTGAAGTTTCATACCTTTCAGAATTCAGACTCTGATCAGCATAATCACTTTTTAAAGTATCTAATTCACTCTGAAGAAAGGCTATGTTCGTCTGTGCTTCTAAGAGATCTTTCTTAACTTTCTGATTCTCCTAGAGAAAAGGAACAGGGCAGGTCATTAGAGGCAGAGTTCCATGATGCAGTCTTCCCACACACCCCTCACCCTCCACAATCCTTCAAATCTAGGATTTCAGAGAACTAATTATTAATTCAAGGTAATCTGAAATAGTTATAAACAATCAAAAATCTAAATCCTCAAGTTTTTAAAAAAATACTTGATATTTGGTCCTAAACTACAATAGTCAAGAGCTTACATGAGGTACTTCAACATATTATTGGCAAATTAATTGAGATCAAACATCTAAACATCTGTTTTACTAATGAAAGCCATGAAACTACAGATAAATATTCTGTGGATTGATGGTACCTAATACCAGGTTAGACTAACTACTTTTTATAATAAATCCTATCACCTAACATTTTAAAATCTTGCACTTAAAAATAAATGAGTGTAGTTAGGAAATTTCTATATTGTACCTTGTACCAAAAAAAAAAAAAATTCCCTGGAGCTTCTAGTTCAAGATGGTGGACTGAGCACGTAAATGTGTCTTCTTTCCCTTTGGAGACCCATTAACATGAAATACCAAAGGAAACCAGTCAAAGTGAAAAGAATGGAAGAGGGGCCTATCAGCAATGATACGATTTAAAACACATTTCTGAAAGATAGAAACTGAATGGAAATGCTGACAAAGGGAGAACTGTACAGGAAAAGAAGGTATAGAAGATGTGTGTTGAAAGTTATGCTGCAGGACACAGAAGGTAATTGGCCAAGTGGAACCCCAAAGACTGGGAATGAGGGGTGAAGCTGAGAGATCAAATGTGTACATTGATGCACACCCTCCCAGCTCATCCCCTCTCTTGCACAGCAGATAGCCAGAGCTGACTCAAGGTAACAAGACAGGGTTTGTCTTTCTAAGAAGTGAATGCTCCTATAAGGAAAGCTAAAGCTTCTCTACGAATATCCATATCCCACTCATCTGACAGCCAGCTTCACACACAGGGGGCTCCTCGGGAGACCCTCTTTCAGGACAGAGGCCTTGAGGTAAAGCAATCTCTTTACCTATCTGCACAGGAATCTTACACCAGTGACCTAAAATCAGATTCCAGATGACCAGTAGCAAGTCAGAAAAGCAATCGGTCAATAATAGCTGAAGTTTTGTGGACTCTAAAATTAATATCTTCAAGAAGACAAAAATAAATGCCATGCACTGGGAGGAATAAATAAGAAGTTGTATCAGTGAGATCATGAGGATAGCAGAGTTCCTTTTCACAGAAAGAAACCTAAAGCTCAACCAGAAAATCCAAGAAAAACAAGCAACTCTACAAGAAAGTTATGATCCAAATACAAAGCCAGCTAAGATGTGACAGAAATTTGGAACTGATGGTTCAGAAAGGGGATTCATCTGACCATACAACTGGAAACCTTCCCTTCTGAGGGGTCCAGGGATAATGACTGGAGGAAAAGAAATACAAGTCTAGCTCATGCTGGCTCACTTCTCGGCTCTGCAGTGAGAATATTTAAGTCATGATAAAGGAAATGTTCGCTATTGGCCTTCAACTTAAAAACAAAATAAAGGTAATGATAATAGAACAGATGTAAATGTTATCAATTTTGGTAACAGAAAGACTACAGATCTGGTCGGCAGAAGATGGAAAAGGGACAGAAAAGGTAAAGGTAGAGGAAGGGTAGGGCAATAATACCGCCCGTCTTACAAAGCCAGGATACAGACCAGAACTGATAGGATAAGAATGCAGGGTTAGCCATTTAAAGTTTAAGGGCCATGCCATTATTGTTTTGAATAAAAAATAAATAGAAGCATTCACAACAGGTGGGGTAATCATTGACAGAAAAGCTCACATAAATAATACTTTTGGTTGGAGCTATTTCAAAGACTTTCTCTAATTGGTATTAACTTCTAAGGTGGCATTAATTTCTCTTGAAGTCATTACCTGTTTTATGCTTTTAAATAGGTTTAAGCTATACTTACATTCTATTCCTGGAACACTGAAGTAATAGCATAACTATGTTTAGGAAACAGCTGTCTAACAGGAAATACATTTCTGTAAGTCAAAAGATGATTCTTACCATTGATAAATCATAAATTTGTTGTTTTAATGCAGCCACATCTTCTTTTTGACTAATATGTTTTGACTGTTCTTCTAGCTGAAAGAGCAAATAAAAGTTGTTTTTACAAACCCACTTTGCATTGATTCAGTCAAGTTTAGGAATATCCTTAAACGGAGAAATGGGAATTCTATCAGTCTTCAATTTTCAACATTGTACAACTTCATAAATCACTGAACTACATATAACCCATAAGGATTTGAAAATCTGCCTTAAATAATTTCAACATTTGAAAAGGGGATTTGAAACAATTGGGAAGGTCTTTTGGGAAACTATTAAAATGGTAAGCAATTCAACCCTCACCTTTTTGTTACATCACATAGGAGTCTGGACCTTTATATTCTCCTAGAACTTTAACGGTTCTTAACACTGTCTATCCTACATTATAATTATTTATGAATATCTTACCTTTCCTACTAGGCCCTAAGATTTTTAAGAGCAGAGTTGCTGTCAGATTCACCTATGTTGTTTTCACTGGGATTTCAGGAAATCCTTACTACAATGACTGAAACCAGTAAAATTTAAGTATGACATGAAGCCAGAGACACCCACACGAAAGGACATAACTACACCCAGGAGCTTCGCTTGCTGGCTGACTTGTTATATGACCAGATTAAATTGGCCGAAAAGCATCTATAACATGGGCAACAAAAATGTCTCCCCTATCAACAGTTTATACCTCCTGGGAATTTGAGGGATCTGTGCGTTTCCACTGAGTATTTGTGCATTGAACAAGTGAATGGCATATTTCGTCAAGCTTAAGTCTAAGTCAAAGTCAAAGTAACTGAGCACTGGACTCTCCTCCTCTTGCCAGATGGCACCAACTGAAGGTGCTCACACAACTAGGTCACAACTGCCACATGTCTGACTGCAACTGAGAAGACTCACTGGCTATAAGATGCCTGATCATCTCAGAGGAGAAAAACTGGGGGAAATACTAGTTTCTCAGAATCAGTGGCATAAGGTAATGGCAATTCTAATAAATTTGTAAACTCCTATAGTTCTTTACAGCCTTTAATGTACTTGTATATAAATAATCTCTTTGTCTCTTGCAGAACAACCCTATTAAGCAGGCAGGAAGTCTGGTGTAAGAGAGAAAGCACCGACCTATAGTAAGACCATTCCATTGCTTACTTGTTCTGTGACTTTAAACAAGTTATTTCACCTCTCTGGAACTTGGTGTCCTCACCCATAAAAGTAGGATGTTTATACCATCCTCACAAAGTTTGAGAATCAGATTTTTCAAATTATGAAAAATAGCTCCATAGAATATGATATTGAAACATCAGCTATTATGGCTAGCCATAATAGGACAGTTAAATATTGATCCCATTTTGCCTACAAGAAACTAAAGATTAGAAAGATGAAGCCAATGTCCCAGTTCTAACAGGCAGACCCCAGCACAGTCACAGTAGGACTTGGGTCTCATCACCTGTGACTCTGCTCAGTGCCTGTTTGGGCTTCATCATATGCTGTGCTGGGGCACGAAACTCTGTGAATCTTCTTGCATAACTTTCTCTTAGGCTAAAGGTCTGGGAAGACATGGAAGTAAGTGAAGATAGTGATGAGAAGAATCTGTGACTTTTCCATAAACAAGGGATTGGTCCATTCAGACTCAGTAACACAAGCATCGTATGTATAGTCTAATGGCCTTTGGAAAATTAGATAAAAGGTCAACATTGATAACAGTTTTCTCCAAAGGCTAAGTCACCTGGGGTGAATTCTTAATAATTCCATATGTCTAAGCTGCAATAGCCTCCAAAATACCAGTTAATCATCACATAATCTTACTGCATATAAACATTGGAAGAAGCATTAAAGGTGATCGTATGAACAACCAGAGAAGCAAAGTGCTGTGCCCCAATTTCACAATGCCACTTTTTAGGGGTGATCATTTTTTCAGTATCCATTTTCATTTTAGCCAACATATTTCCATTATTTATGGAGACAATCCACATGCAAGAAGTGAATCCAGTGCTGTTCTGGAGACAATTGGTACCAGAAGGTGGGAGCTATTTTAAGCATCTCTTCCCAAACTCTGCATTAGGTGATGTTAACATGGTAGCTTGAAATCAGTCATGGTGGGAGTACTTATACCATGTAAATTGCCAAGTGTTAACAAAGCCCTCCCTTTGCCTCCCACCCCAGAGCCAGTTGTTAAACATTACCAGCACACCACCGAGGGCAACATACCCTACTTATCAGAAGCCAAATAGAGCAAAGACCAAAACTCCATCACACCTTTGCTCACACTTCAACAAGTTCTCTCCCACCTCTTGTTGATCAGGGGCCTCCTAGATCTGGAACTTTCTACACAGAAGAATATTCATTTCATTTAATAAACATTCACTGAATACCTCCCATGTATCTTGCAGTAAGCTGTGGACAGGCATACAGGAATACATGATGAGGAAAGAGCTCTACTACTGCTGCGAGCGGACAGTCCACTGGACACATGGGAATTGAGGGCGTTTGGCTGGTGAAGACCTCAGGAAAGAAAATGGGGATTTGATGGAAAGCTGTTCAGGGGGTCAGAAATATGCAAAAGACAGGTTAACCTTGGAAACAGAAAGGACACCAAGGGCCCTTAAAAAAAGTCTTCACAGGAGTCCAATTTGACTCTGAAATCTGATTCTATTTCAATACAATCTAAACACTTCCAGTCACTCATAACTCAGACACACTGATACACTGTGGCTATTCCTAAAAGTCTAGATGCCACAACCAACCTTTTTGAGCTTCTTTATTGTCACTTGTAGATCTCCTACTTCTGTTTCATACTGACGTCTGAGGTCACTGAGAGCTTCCTCAGCTTTGCGTTTTTCCTAAAAGGAAAAAATATATATTTTACTTAAAAAGGTTCTTCAAAATCCCATAAGTGAGAAAATTTTTGTGTCAAACTAAGGCTGACACCAAAGGGTGGTAAAACAAAACAAATGACTTCAGATGGACAGCACTTCTGGAATTGAGCTATAAAGGGGAAGGAGCTGCGATCCCATAGCCGACACCCCACCTGGAGGGACACCCATGAGACCGCTACTCACTTTGCGACAGGGGCTGCAGCACGCTTATTAGCTGATTTAATTAATTGCTGCCATAATTAATTAAGAGATACGGCAATAGCCTGGGGCCCCAGTGCTTGCCAAATCCCACCACATCATCAGGACCCTGGAAGGCCTGGCAGGTTTACCATTTTTCCAAGAGCTTAACACCTATTCTGAATTCAAATCACATCATCAGCAAATCTCTGTGCAGAGTGCTTCCCCACGGGCTGGCACTTCTCCAGTGTGTCCCGCTGGAGCAGGGATGGCAAGAGGGCACCCAGGAGGTCAAGGCCTGAGGCTCCCATGAGTCCAGACATCTTTGTTTCCTTTTTCCCTTTACAAATTATGGAACTTTACATCCTATGTTCAACATTCAAGGAAAGTTCTACTTTAACAACCCGTAAACTGACTATACACATATCTGCTGATAGGCCTACTGTGTACAAGGAATGGCCCCGGGCACAGGGGAGCAGAGCAGGAACACAGATTAATGGATGCTCTCATGCATCCTGGTGGGGAAGACAGAAAGCAGATGATTTCAGGGAGTGGTACTAAGAGGATAAAACAGGGAGATGTGACAGGAAGTGAGCTGGATGGGGGTAAGGTATGGCCTCTCCACAGAGGTGGCGTGATCCCCCCATCTGAACAGCTGCCTGAGTTACAGGGTCTTCCTGCCCACTGACTGGCTGTCTAGCCAGGACAACTTACCTGGTGCCCCCATTTCCTTACTGGATTATTATGAAGATTACATTAAATTATCCAAGTAAATTAAGTAATCCATATACATTAAATGTACTATGCTTAGGAGAGGAGAAATATCTTCATGCATGGTAACCTTTCTCTAAGCGAGTATCTTGGCTTCGTCCAGCTTTACAGGTGAGACAACAAGTACTGCCCACCTCACGGGTGGAGGAAGGCAGTGAGGGGCTGATTGGGCAGCCTTCCTGGCATCAAAATGGACTTGGTTGCCACGAGGCAAATCTCTTCCTTAAATCCATGGCCACAACCCCAAACATAGCAACTTCTATAGCTTAAAAATATTTTATGCAAAGCTCTGTAAGGGAAATTATCACTATTGAGTTCTTCCCAATCCTAACTTAAAACAGGTAGGTGCCAGGAGATCAGAGAGGATGTCATTTCAGAAACACAAATGAGAAATGGTAGTGGTTCAGACCAACTCATCACAGACTTCCAGAAAAGTGAAACGGGGGCACAGTTCCCAACTCATTCTATGAGACCAGCATTAGCCTGATACAAAATCAGGCAGAGACATTTAAAGAAGACTACAAACCAATATATTTTATGAGCATAGATACAAAAATGATAAACAAAATTAAGCAAAATGAATTCCACAACATATAAAAAGGGTAATACATCATAACCAAGTGAGGTTTATCCCAAGTTTGTTTTAATACTAAAAAATCAATCAGAATAATTCACCATATTAATATTCTAAAAAGGCAAAAAAAAGGTGACCATTCCAATTAACACAGAAAAAGCATTTTTCAAAATCCAATACCCCTTCCTGATTAAAACAAAAACTCTTATAAACCAGGAACAGAAGAACATGCTCAATTTAATAAGGGCATCTAAGAATAACATGCTCTGGCATCATACTTCATGTTGAGACTGAATATAGACAAGGAGGCCTGCTCTTATCACTATTCTTCTTTTAACCAATACCAAGAAGGAAAGCAAAATAAATAAAATGATCATCCAGATCAGAAAGAGAAAAGAAAAACTGCCTTTATTCATAGAATACATAACCATCTACCTAGAAAATCTAATGCTCTCTACCAGAAAAGCTACCAAGTATAAACACTGTAAATAGTTGTACAGGGCATAAGACTAATAAACCAAAATCAAATGTATTTCTATATATTCATAATGAATAACCAAAAATTGAAATATTTAACAACACTGTTTAGAGTTGCATTAGGAATAAATTTGAGAAAAGACTTACAAGATCTGTGTATTGAATACCATCAGGTTTTTGAATAAGAACATTCAATATATTATTAAGATGCCAGTTTTCCCCAAATCGATGCAATGAAGTCCAATCACCACAATACAGACATACATACAGTACATATATCCAATATTGTCCTACTCTACACTTTAAATACATGCCTTTTATTGTATGCCAGTTATGCTTCAATAAAGCTGTTACAATATAAAAAAAACCTAACTGCAACCATGGAATATACACTACATGGGCAATCGGAGTCAAGGTTAGGAAGAAGTGACTAGAGGACTAGGCGCATTAAAGAGAATGGGGGGACTTTGAGCTTTGCAGAATTTAGGAAAGTGGGGAGGACTGGAACAACAGTCACCAAGGCAAAAAAAAAAAAAAAACAGCTGGAGGGAAAGCTGACCAGACCAGAGCCGCATGGTGAAGAACCACAGGGAGCCAGGGAGCCGAGGTGAGCCACATGTTATCATTAACAAAACATTAAGTTATAAGGGGTGGGGGGCCATGGTAAGATTTCCACTACAAAGTAACAATCTGAAAAGCACTTTGGGAGAAGAAACAGTGAGACTACTAGCACAATACACGTGTGTTGATAAGTGCTTGGTGAATGAATGAGTAGAGAATAGATGGTGAGAAAAAAAGGCAGAAAAAAATCTGTGATTTTCCTGTTTTATACTACAAAAAAAAAAGTGCTCATAGAAGAATGGGCTGCCTCTTGCATTAAGCTGGCCCATGGGCTCTGAACTACCTACTCTATTGAATATGACATCAAGCAGTTATTCAACCTGATATTAAGAGAGGAGACAAGAAAGACCCCCAAAGGCATTTATGTGACAAAGCAGTTTAAGGGCAAAGAATCTGAAAGCACTCAAGTACCCAGAGCAACAGGAAAGAGCAGGCTGGCAACACCCAGGGGCACCCCCACACGTCAGGCACTGCTAGGCAGACAAGCCCCTCATCAGGCTTACTCCCCGTGAAAGCTGGAGGGTGGCACTACCCCATCCTAAAGATGCAACAACAAAGGTCAGAGCTTAGGCTGTATTTCCAGCGTCACCTGCCCTCCACAAAGGCAGAGCCAGGGGCCAAACAGAGGCCAATCAATGCCAACACCCCAGCCTTCCCATTCCATTTTGCTGCCTCTCGGAGTTAGCAGGCAAATGAACACCAAAAAATACAGAATGTTCAACCTAACACCAAGCTACTCAAAGAAATAAGTCAATTTTCTATTTTCAGTAAACATTCATCACCTAAATATATTTCTTCGATAAGGAAAAAACTTAATTGGTCTTCTGTGCAAATCACTGAAGGCAGCTTCCAACTTTCAACTACAAGACTTCCTGTGATGATGGATAAAATACATTAAATTATAAAACACCAGAGATTGCAGAGAGAATTTTAATTTTGCTGTAATCTGGATTTCAAGTTGGCAGCGGAATTGGGCACGAATAGTGGAGCCACCCTGTCCCTGCAGGTGGCTCCGCCTTCTCCCTGGGGCCTCAGCTCTTGAGCCACCTCTACAAGGAGGCTGTGGCCCCGTGGCCTGCCTATCCCTGTCTATCACACACTCTCTTACCCACACCTGCCGCTATCTGAATTATCCACTTTATTTAATGACTTGTGTGTGTATTCTCTCTCCCCTTACCTGCCCCCAAACCACCACAACTAAAAATGCCCTGAGGGGGCTGGTCCCACAGACTCACGTCCTTCCGTGTCTTGTGCTCCGCGGCCTGAATCCTCTGGTCCATTTCCTCCTCCAGCTCACTCAGCTGCATGGCTGCCTTGTCCTGGGCTCTGGAGTTCAAGAGCATGTACACCTTTTCGTTACACTCTCAGACGAATCGTAAGAGAAAACGCATCTATTTCAAGCCCTCTATCTTACAATGACGAGAAACACGCCATTTAAAATAATATTCCCTGTGCCTTGCACATAATAAAACGAGATAGGCAATTTGACCATTTGGGTGGAAAATGACATTAAAACTAGATATTAAATAAATGGAGTAAATTAGAATAAACAATATTAAACTAGATTGTGGCAAAGAAGAGATAAAGATACCAAATCACTGGGAAACTCCCTATAAATCCTGAAAATCCTTTTAGCTGCCATGACAGAGCCACAACCCAGGACAAAAAAAAACAACTACATAGCAAACAGATGGTTTAGGTAGGATTCTGAAATTTTATTATATGAAACACACAGTGTTCTATGCTACAGTTAAAAGGGAAGAAAGGAAGGGATCTCAACAATTATTTTTAATAAGTTCCCTAAACTTCTAGAATGTAGGTATGGTTACCAGAAAAATTCTCTTTCTTTTATTAGTGTAATCAATAAGTCACACCTCTCTGGAGGCAGAACATACTATTTTGCCAAAAAGTTAGAAATGGGACAATTTCATTGAGAAGAGTTCCAAATAGTTTTATTTAGCAATTGTCTAGTATGGAGACATCTGTCAGTTTACAATTGTTGAGACTTTTTGATCTCTCTCATCTACATGTCCAATTACCTGAATTTTCACAATCGTATGTGTTTCCCACTCAACTAAGGGATATGAGACCTGAAAGCAGACACCATGAGATTTACAGTCAGTGCACTGGGACCAGTGGCATGCTGCTAGCAGTAAGCAGAGAACAGGACCTCAATGTAAGAGATCCCGTCTGCCAGTTTGATGGCATCTGACCATCCTACCTGCTTTCCACTTCTTACACCTATGCAGCACAGTCCGCTCGTTCCTTAGCTTAATTTCTAAAGTTCCAAACCAGCATTGAGGTAGGGGAACAACCCCGAAGTAAAATTTCGAGTTTTGTAACTACTTCTGCTCCTGTTTTCTTTGTTCTTACCTTGCAGCCTGCTGAGGTCACATCAACAAAGTTTGGAAAGTCTGTTATTTCTAGTGTGTTTATAAATACTTGCCATTTGATGTTTAGGAATTATGTACCTCCAAAGCAACTTTGTTTTGCTTTGTTTTGTGTTTTGGATCAACTTTGTACAGAGCTAAGCCACATATCCCTTCTCCCTTTGTTAGGACCATTTTTCCAGCCATTCTTTCTAGATATCCAGTCCCAAACATCTGGGCATCTGGGACTGCTCCTGAAAGTGTTCTTTTCTACCTTTTTCACTTCTGACCCTTTGTTTTATTTTTGGTAAACCTAGGTAGTTTATAACAATGCAGTGTTTGCCCCAGCAATTTCTACTTCTTAGTAGAAGGCTGAGTGTGTGGATCCACTGTAACCTAGTCCAGGACTCCCATCAGGACACAGGAACCCATTCTTCAGGTGCAAGGGCACAGCAAAAAGATAGAGAACCTCCCCAGCCAGCAAACAGAGGTGAGGGTGATGGCCCTTAGCTGAGAATGCAAAGGGCGCTCACAGCAGTTGTTTAAACACTGAGAGACAGAGGAGCCTGTAGGAGGTCCCAGGCTCCTGTCAGACACTAGCTCTGGATCCCACCCAGGCGGCAGGACAGAACCACTAACATAACTCAATGGAATGTTGCGCACTAGTCCACAGGGTGGGGGCAGCAGCCGAGCTGATGAAGAGAGCTTAAAGAGTGTCATTCTTTTTCCCTTCAGGGTTTGCATGGTGCTGTCCTGAAAGGTCATGTGAGTGTGTGTGTGCCCCACATACCTGTGTGGGGGTGTGTATGTGTACCTGTGTGTGTACATGGGAGTCTGTTTTCATAACACTGGGCATTCTAAAAATGCAATGGCATGTCTGCTAGTCACCCCCATCCCATAATGCTCCACAGAATGCAGAGTTCCAAGAACCACCCAATTATCCTATTGAAGGCCCCTAGCAGGCAAGCTGGAGGGAAAGGACCAGAGTCAGGACCTGGAAAGGTTCCTAAGAAACCTCCTAGGAAGAGTTCAACTCTTACATGACTCTAGGCTATCAAATAAGTTTTATCTAGCAGCAACATTTTAAAATGCTTTTTCTTCTACACGTGAATTCTCTTCAGTCACTCCAAAGGGTCAACTAGTTACATCATTGTGTTGAAGGGAAGAATACAGAGAGAGGGCAGCCCTGCCTGGCCGCATGCAGACAGGGCATCCTATCAAAGCAGCCATTTGCAAGTCCTGAGCAGAGACCCATGGGGTGTGCAGCATACTTGGAGCTGCTGAAAGAGCAACTGGCAGTGAGAAGCATCTGTGGAGAAGAACAGCCAGGAATTGTGACAAACAAAATACCCTCTTTCCCATTAACGTCAAAGGAGTGTTGTTCTTCCAGGAAGCAAAGAGGCTGATGTTTGGATTGCAACACATACACATTATTCTTTTGCACTGAGTTGCTGTTAGAACCAGTAAGATACCCTACATAAGCCAGCTCAGTACAGCTCCTGTAAACCATATGACAGTAAGGATTCAACAATTTTTTGGCTTTCAGTTGGGGCCGGGTGGGGAGAGCTGAAGAGAGGGAAAGACCCAGCTGAGTGCCTACCGCATGGCAGGTGAGGGGCAGGGGGCTTCACCCACTACATCATCTATCAAGTCTCAGCCCCCGGAGGATGTGGATATTGATGGCCTCACCGTGCAGACGCAGAAGTAAGACTCAGGGAGAGTAAGTAACCTGCCCAAAATCTCACACCTGTCAGTGACAAGGCCAGGCTTCAGATGAGTCCTGCCCGCCGCTCTGGATGAGCTGTTTCCTGCATGTTTCAAGGGGCTGGATATAAGGCAACAAATCTCTTTGAGCTGTTGTATGTGAAATTATTGGCCTTGAAGAGTTTATATATTCGGATCACAGTGATCTATGAATGGACTGCTGGCTGACCATACAAAGCACTGCCCTCATGCTTAGTTTAGAAAGCTCTAGATTCCCGAGATTCAGGAAGTCCACCCATACTGTAACGTGACAATGCAGCTCAGTTCATGTACCACCCGGGTCAGAGAGCCAGCTAAAGGACTCCAGGTGCCACTCAGAAAGCAAAGACCTCACCACCTTTTTACTGCAATGGCCAGGTTTTCCATTTCTGTGCTTTGAAGTTTGATCTCACGGATGAAGTTCTTTATAACATGTTCATAGGGCTGAATTAGTCTGGGCTCCACAAGGTTGATGTTTTGATACAAGGTACCAACTTGCTCTTTTCTGCCAAAAAAAAAAAAATTGAAATTAAAAATTAAATTGAACCAAGTAAAAAATAAAAAGGCAAATTTTCAGAATACTTTTAGAGAAGAGACAAATAAGTAAAGAAATAAAGAAGAAAAAGGCAACAATGGATTGACCAGAATGGAGGTGAGATCTCAGAGAAGGGGGGGTGGGGTGCATCACCCTCCACATTACTGTTTTCACAATGGAACAACAACTTTATTTTGTTTCCAGCTTTACTGAGGTATGGCTGACAAAGAGAAATGGTGTATATTTAGGTTGTACAATGTTATTTTATTTAAAGCTATAGAATGTGATGATTTAATATTAAAAGATGAAGGCCTAAAGGGCATTGAAATGAACAGGGAGGGATTAATAGGGAAGGATTTTTTTTTTTTGGTCACTGCTGGTTTTTCTTGTCTTCAGTAGAAAGGCAAATAGAATAACATAAAAGATGGTAACAGTAAACCAAGTACTTAATAGCATGTTCCACCAATCCCTAATAAAACATACTTTAGCCTTTATGATCATAAGAGTAGATACACCCATCATCTTAAAGTCAGTTAAAAATTACTTCATATAGTCATATTTATAGAATCCTATATATAATATACATATCTAATATATATAACATTTTTATATATTATATATAATATATATAATATATTTTCAAAAGAAAATTGGTGACTGGGCAGCTGCTCTGCTAGAGGAAAAAGGAGTGAGTCCATGAGGCTAGTAGGGCCCTTGACTCAAGTTAAGGGGCTGATGTGCTATGTGGCACAGAGGGAAGGGCTTGTGAAGACAAGGGGACAAGGTAGCCACCTGCAGGCCAAGGCGAGAGGCCTCAGAGGGACCAGCCCTGCCCACACTTGGATCTCAGATTTCCAGGCTCTAGAATTGCAAGAAATAAAATTTTGTTGTTTACATCACCCAGTCTGTTATTTGTTACTAGAAATACCCAGGCAATCACAGCGAACAATGAAAGACCCAAGGTCACACTGTGACCGAGCGGCTGAGTTGGGATTCAAACTCAGGCTGAGGCTGGAGACCACATAATCAAGCAAAACAGTATATTGCTTCAGAATTGCGTTAAACAGCTGAATCTTGGCAAAAGATATGGGATTCAAAATCAACCCACAGAACTATGAAACATTACAAAGCAGGAGATATATATTAACCAGGATGCTTAACTAAGCATGGCCTAAAGGTGTGTCCACACAGCTATAAACTCCCCCTGGTTTGCTCTTATAAACTACTCAATCTGTGAAGAGGCCAATTATGATAAAAGAACTGTTCAAGTGAAATATTATTAATAAATCTGCAGGAGTAAGTCCCTTTATATGATAATATAAGACACAGAAAGCTGTCACCATTCCTTCCATCAGAGCTGAGTCCAAATACTTGTTGCAATAGTGAGCCGTATTTACTAGAGAGCAGGGAGGGAAAACACTCCACTCTTTGATTTTCCCATGTAATTTCAATGCATAACAGGATCATAAATGCCTCTGCCTTTACTGACTGCCAGTAGGATACAAAGCATAACACCTTCCTTGTGAACAGCAACCTGCCTGTCAGGGATGGCCATTAAGATACTATCACCAAGTCCTTGTTTATTGGCTAACTGCACGGCAATGAAATGTTCACAAGTTGGATGTCTCAGTAGATTCTCTTGCTTTCTGCAAATTTCTAAAATAAGAAATAAACATAAAGATTTGCAAATTCTCTTGCATCCTTTGCTGGTCCTGGCGTTAATACATAGAATTTCAGGAATAGTTTACAGTGATGTGTACAAATAGATTAACTATAGAAAATATCTGCCACTATCTGCCACTAGCAGAAAATCTGTTCCATGGTTAACTGTTGTGCCACAAATACCCATCTGTCCTACTTCTTTAGGGCACACAGAGAAAGCTGACTTCCCAGAGTCTCAGGCAGGTACACTGGAACCATGTGACATTAGAAAAAAACAAAACAAAAATAAAAAATACTTTGTTGTAATAAGAGATCATACCTGATTTACCTGTGTAAGATTTACAAGGTGTGTCCTGCACAGGCAGCCTAACACCTGTGGATTCTTCAGCTCAGCACACTGGGGCCTTACTAGGAGCCAAGACAGTCTTTTGTTCTGCTCCTGTGAGTACAGTTTCCACCGGCCTCCTGGGTGTACTGGTTCCTGACGTCAAAGTGTAAACAAGCAGAGATGGCACAATGCTATACACGCAGCTGTTTGCATCAGAACCTGACCCAGTGTGGCACATGTGAGTGTTGAGGAGAGTTTCACGTAGTGACAAAGCCTGGAGCCTTGTATCAATCTCTTATACCCATAGCCTCATCTAAGGCGATTACACCTGGATTCACAAACACTATGCAAACCTGTTTATAGGTATACATGACAAACACCAGGTAAAGATTAAGAGTCAGGTTGTATGTTTTAGTCAAGACAAAAATAGTTTCTACTTCTGTGCTGAGAGAGCCATTAATGCTATGCTAATGTATGTCTGAAAAAAAAGAAATGAAATGCAATCAGAGAAAAATGCACCCTGAATCACCAACCAGTTTTACATGTTTAAAATCCAAGCTTATTCATCTTCTTGTTCAATAAATTACAAGACTGTTCATATGAAAGATGGTGGTAATGGTTAATTACCGATCAAAAATTCACAACTTAAAATTTTTTAATGATCAATGGGAAATAAATTTTTAAATTACAACTATCCCCATTGAAGCTGAAAAGGATATTATGAACTCAGAAGGACAACAGGTATGCCTAAAATGTGTAAACTTTTTAAAGGTCACACGTTTTCATAGGATTAACTTTTTATTTAGAAAAGAACATCTATATCTGTGTTTATGTGTTTCTAATGTAGTAAGAATGCCAGGACACCTCTGGTCTCAGGAATCTTGCAGGAAATAGTCAAGAGTAGAAATACCACTCCACATAAAGGAACACAGTGACCCAGTAAGGCTGTTAGGAAAATTATCCCTTAGATTCCAAGTCTTTCTGCTTTAAGCATTAAGAGAGATAGCTGCTCACCTGCTTCTTCAAACTATAAGTTACAACATAGACCTAAACCCAAAAAGGGTTTTCTATGAGCAAAAGCAAACAGCATTAAATGCCAATGTCTACATCATTCTAGAAACACCTAGGCAACCACAGTGAACAATGAACAATGAAAGGCCCAAGGTCACCACAGTGACTGAGCAGCTGAGTTGGGATTCAAACTCAGTCTGAGGCAGAGACCACACAACCATTACGCTAACAGTTTACTGCTTCCCAATTGTGTAAAACAGCAAAAGACATTGGATTCAAAATCAACCCACAGAACTATGAAACATGACAAAGCAGGAGATATGTATTAACCAGGAAGCTTAGCTAAGCATGGCCTTAAGGTGTGTCCATGCAGCTATAAACTCCCCCAGGTTTGCTCTTACAAATAAACTGCCATAAGAATATTGACACTATGACCCTAACATCTGGGCAAACATCCATGCCATCCAAAGGGCACCATGTTAGATCCTGGACTGAAATGCTAAGGAGCTACTAGGTTCCCTCCCTCGGGAGGCTCATTGTGAAGGTTAAATACAAGATGCTGACAGTAGAGAGCAGCTGAACACGGCCAGGCCTTGGCAGCTCACCTAAAGGATGATCAGATGTCAACCTGGCAGGAAGTGGGAAAAAGGTGAGGTGGGTAGCCTGTCCCGGGCACCAATAACCACAGGCTAAGGGAATTGGGGCCCAGGGGAGGAACCAGCACTTCCTGTAACTGGAAGAAGCTGGTGAGGCTGGAGAGACGGAGAGGGGTTGAGAGCAGCAGATTCAGATGTGGACTTGGTGGGAGGAGTTAGCAGGAGCCCAGTGACTACACAGGGGCCTGAAGCCCAGTAAAGAGATGGGAGGTAGGTAGCTATTCTGAGAGGAGGAGAACCCACTGGGAGGCTTAAAGGACAAGATGACATCACCAGGTTTGCATCTTAACTATTCCCATCTTCACAATATTTTGGCTGAAGCAGAGAATTAAGCAATGGATTTCAAATCAAGTTTGCAGAGATAAAGGTACATCTAAATCCACTGTCATTTAGTCCTGAAATTTGCAACTTCAGGAGTTCTCACTAGCTTCTACTTTCCTTTACTATAGAATATGTATAATTATGGACCACTAAAATGTGATAGTACAAACAGATCAATGGCACAGAACAGACAACCCAGAAAGAGACCTACATAAACACAGTCACCTGATCTTTGATGAATGAGCAAAGGTAATGCAATGGAGCAAAGATCGTCTTTTCAAGAAATGGTGCTGGAACTAGGCTTCCTTTTGCAAAAGAAGTAATATAGACACAGAATTTACACCCATCACCAAAATGAATTTAAAATGGAGAACAGCTACAAATGTAAAACGCACAATTACAAAACCCATTGAAGATAACACAGGAGACAACCTAGATGACCTTAAGTGTAGCGATAACATTTTAGACACAACATCAAAGGTGTGACCCATTAATTAAATAATTGATAACCTGGACTTCATTAAAATTAAAAACTTCTCTGTGAAAGACAATGTCAAGCAAGTGAGAAGACAAGCCACAGACTGGGAGATAACATTTGCAAAAGACACATCTGATAAAGTCTGTTATCCAAAATACACAAGAACTCTTAAAATTCAACAACAAGAAAACGAATAACCCCATTCAAAAATGAGTCAAAGACCTTAAAAGACACCTCACCAAAGAAGATATACAGATGGCAAATAAGCATATAAGAAGGTGCTCCACATCATATGTAATTAGGGAAATGCAAGTTAAAACAACAAAGAGTATTCACTACACACCCATTATACACCTATGGCCAAAATCCAAGAGTGACAACATCAAATGCTGACAAGGATGTGAAGCAGCAGGAACTCTCATATGTTGCTGGTGGGAATGCAAAACTGCAGTCACTTTGGAGACAGTTTGGCAGTTTCCTAGAAAGCTAAACATACTCTCACCATATTATCCAG